GTATCCCAACACCTTCCATAGTTACACCTCTTTCGTAGCGTGCGGCTCATAAAAATCGGTAATCCATTATCTCAGATTATTAGAATATTTTCCAAGGTCAAGCAGAAAAGTATTTACAGAAATATCTGAAAAGTTTGCTCATTTAAACACTGACTGTATCGATGGAGTTCATTAGCTTGTGGGACTGCTGAGGTGTCATTAAAGCCTAGGTTGCTTTGATAGCAGTCTTCAGCTCATCTGTAGTTTGAGGTTGGGTGGTTCTTTGGTAAAGTCCTTCTGAAAGCTAAAATCCATCTCCGTATAGCTTGTCAACAGATGAAAGCATGAAGTGTTCTGAAATTACATGGCAAAGTTTGGATTTTGACTCTATAATAGTGGACCGACCACCACAAATACCAGCAAAGGACATGGTGCAACAGTCATCACAGGCTTTACACTAGACTTCAAACATCTTGGACTTACTGTCTCTCCACTCTTCCTCCAGGATTTTCAAATGAAGTACAAAATTTGCTTTAATCTGAAAAGAGGACCGGATCACAGAACAAAAGTCTAGTTTGTTGTCTCCTTAGCACAGGTAAGAAGCTTCTCACACTTCATTCAGGAGCGAGCTGAGGTGGCTGTAGCTCAGGAGACAGCGCAGGTCATCTGTTAATTAGAAGGTTGGTGGTTTGATCCCTGGCTGTTTCAGTCTGCATGCCAAAATACCTTTGGGCAAGACATTAAATTCTTAATATTTGAGAGTTTATTAAGGTTCATTCTTAAAGTCTCAGAGTTTTCAGTAAAGACGCTTTCACTGTCTGAACTGGACAGATCAATGTGGTAACTTAAGCACATAACCTAGTCTGGAACAACTTGTATTCAAAGTGGTGATGTAGACAATGTAGCAATGTTTTCAAGCTTGATGCTAATGCTGCTGGACTACATCACTACTGGAATTACAACAGAGGTCCGATTGAGAATAGGGGTGGGCGATATACGATAGAAACGATATAAATTTGGCCAACGATAGAGATTTTGACTATATCGCTCTATCGTGATAGTGCATGTTGATGTCATCAAGCTGCGCCTGTTTTGGTTGAAAGCATTGCAGCAGCTAAAACCATTATCATCTGCAAATTATGGCGGGCGCGTGTATAGCATCCTGCTATGCGATTGCATTTGTCCCTGACCACCAGAATCCCGAGTGGAAAAAAAGTTAGCGTTCATCCTCCAGCTTCACTGTGCTAATGTTATGCTAACATAGCTGTGTCGCTAGCAATCACGTAGCACAACATTATATACCAGGTAGTCCAACTTCATTAACCCTGCAAACGCCACTGCTGTTTAGTTTTCTGTCTTCATTTATGTTGGAAGTGGCAGCAGAGCTGTACGTTTGAATTAGTTTCAAAAATCCCTCAGTCAGAACATGGTATGTCATGTTTAGGTGTAAACTAGCGAGCTAACTTCCTGTTAACTTCTAACTCCGTTAAATTAAATAAATTCTGTTTTCATGGATGCCTGGATGTTAAACTTAATTGTTACACCCGATAAAGCAGCAACATTTCTGCACGCCCAAATCGCTTTTAGGTCAGTAAGCACAACCAGAATTCATACATAAGGCACACTCTCGATTTTTGAGAAAATTAACTGATTTTAAGTGCGCCTTATAGTGTGGAAAATACGTTATACAGAAGAAAAGAATATATCGTGATATATATTGTTACAGCACATGCTTCAAATTATATCGCGATATGAATTTTAGGCCATATCGCCCAGCCCTAATTGAGAATCGATGTATTTAGAGGCTATTCCTGATCATTTTCAGTCAATAAAATTAAATTCACTTTTTCTGAGTTTTTCTGAGTGAATAAGTTTAGAAAGTGAAATTAATTTAAAAGTGAAACTGATTTGTGTGAGTGTATGCCTGTGTTTGTTTCCTGGCGCACATTAAAGACGCAGTCAGTTAGAGATCTTTTATTATTGGTCTCACCTAACTCTTTTGATATAAACACTTCCTCGCACATCAATACACCACTTAAGACAAGCAGCTTGTAAACATTTCAAAAAAGCATCAAACAGTTGGAAAACTGGACAACACAAAGCAAGAAGGGGCTCAATTTGTCCAAAACAAGATTTTACATTTGAAGGAAAAGTCAAGGGGGGAAAAAATAAAATCAGAATACAAAAACAAATATGGCGATGAATAAAAGGCCAAGAGGAGATTTTAAATGGAGTTGAGGTTGAGGTCACGTTCCAGCTATTTCAGAGGTTTTGTTTCATTAAAGTTACTGCAAAAATATGCAATATAGCTTACCAATTCTATTGGGTATAAAGTCATACAAATAAATATTAAGTGGCAGTGCCTGATTACAAATTATTGTAAATTTATTTGATACACTGTAAAAGATTAAACTCTTGTTTGCCATATAAAATACCAAGTGCATAATTGTTTCCTCCCTTTGGGAAAATAGACATTTCTCAGTAAGCAAACAACATTTCAAAGAGCAACTCTGAGGCATAGAAAAGTGACAGAATCCAATACTACAGGAACCCCGAAGATTTAAGTGCAAACGTTTCATCACAACATCTGCATTTACAATATCAGCACTATTATCAAAACACATAACATAGAAAATGCAGATTTAGATTTATCCCATAAGGCTTTGATTCCCTACAAAACAAAACAAAAATGGCCAACATCGCCACGGGGCTGCCGTTGCCACCTCCTCCTAAATCCACAAGAGGAAACACATGCACAGAGAGAACATTAAATCAGAAAACCCAACATAGGAGACGTCGAACTACTTGGCCATTACAAAAATAGAAATTAATCTTAAAATTCTATTTGTGTTACAGGAAAATAAAGAAGATTACACACAAACAAAAGCTTAAACAGGTCTTCTATATATATATTCATATACTTTCTGAGTAGAACATTGAGAAGCAGGCTGGAAACAGACATGGCTGCCAACTTTAATACACGGCCTGATTACATTTTACATGCTGTGCATGTTGCTGTCCGTATGTACAGTAAAGCATCCAGAAGGTCACTGCGGCACATTTGAGCTGCAGCGTGCTTGTGCACAAAACATCCCTGGTGAAGTTTTACTCCAAACTTCCGGGGTTTGGTCTAAGATATGGCATAAAAGCGAAGAGGACAGCTGTGGTTTACTGTTCCATCGCTTTACCTCCATCCAGTATCGGGAGAAACGTGGGCGCGGCTGTGGTAAGGCACCATATATCACTCTGATGGACAGTGGGGTCTGTTAGTTGAGCAGAAATGAGCAGTAAGTTCCCCCACTCCCCAACATCCATCCCTGGGGTGCAAAGTCTGGTAAACACACAAAATTCAGTGTGTTTTATCCAAGTATTGTGTAAACATGTCGTGTACAATTTGCATGTTTAGCATAGAAAGGTGGGATTTACCACCTTTGGGATTTCAGTCTGTCACTCAGATGTATGGCTTTAAAATCAGTGGCAAAGAAGGTGCAAACCTCTCGTGGCTGATCAGCGAATAGAGGGTCCTAAGGGGGAAGGAGCTTTTCTGCAGAGGAGCCACAACATGATGGCTGCTCTCATGAAGAGAGAATAATCTGGGGTGCGTTTAAAGGTACTGTGAGCGAACTGCGAACTAGTAAATCTCAGAAAAACTAGCAGATAGCTCTTACAATGGCCAGCGACAACACATATGGAACACCAAGGCTGGCGTGTGGGGTAGTAACCAACAAACCACCTTCAACCGTCTGATATAATCCCCAACACAGCAGATGTGCACTGTGGCACATTAGCATATGATGAGAGGTGACCATAAATGCTTCGGCTCGTCACTGCATGTTCAGATGACTAACAGCCAGTGCTGGGAACCAA